CGATACATACCTGTGTGGGTTGATACAATGTCAAAGAATCATTCTAGCGGGGGATGTTGATTGTGGCAAAGGCTGTGGACTTGTGTGTGGAGAAAGGATACACAAAATCTCAAGAAAATCAAACCACACCAAACAAAAGGTCCAATCAAAAGATGGGCAACGGAAATAAATCAGTGCCTTTCAGAAGAAGAAATGGCCAATAAATACATGAAAAAATGAACAATCTTTGGTCATCAGAGCAATGCAAGTGAAAACAACACTGAGATACCGTCTTACACTTATGGGTATATAACAGAGGTGCAAACCTTCAGAGTTTTCAATGATAACAAACAGCTTGCTGAAGAGCCTGTGTCACAGGTTCCCCACCACAGATATATATTATGCCAACAATCAAACAATAACAAATGCTGAGGAGGCTCTGGGGGTGACAGTACCCTTCCGCATTTCTGTTGGGAATGTGAACCAGTAGTGAAATCATTATGGAGATTGCTCAAAAACCTAAAACTAGAAATACCATTAGACCTGGATCTTCCCCTTCTAGGAACCTTCCCCAAAGAGTGTAGGGCATCATTCTGAAGTGATGCACACATATGCATGTTTACAGCAGCACAATTTGTCACAGCTCAATCTTGGAAACAGATTGTATGTCCATCAGCAGACGGATGGATGAAGGAAATGTATTTATACTTAGCAGAGTTCTATTCTGCCGTCCTGTGGGATAAAGTTGAGTCATTTGTAGGAAAATGGAGACCTTTGAGATCATAATGCTAAGTAACATAAATCAGACACAGAAGGTTAAATATCACACTGTTTCTCTTTTGTGAGAAACCAGAACTACAAATAGTGAAAAAGACAAAAGAGACAATAGGAAAGAGGGAGACAGATCCTTTGCTAGTGGAAAGGGGATACAGGAGTTAAGGGATAGGGGAGGCAGGAGAGAGGAAGGGGCATAAAAAGAAGATACAGTAAGTACAGGTCCCTGCTTTCTAAGAAGAATGTACGCATTGTATACTACAAGCGTATACGCAAAGAATGAACTATTTGAAAGATAAATCTTTAGATGAAACAAAGGAACAGACATAAAAGGGCTGGGAATGTCCCTCAGTGGTAGAGTGCTTAGCAAGACTACTCAACTCTGGATTCTGTCCCTTATAATGTGAAAAAAAAAAAACAAAACCCAGAATATATGATTTTACTTTGTGTATTTAAGCACATAATTTGATAATATAAACATTTAAGTCAATCAGATTAAATCCATATATTTATTTACATGGATATTCCCATATATGTTATTCAGAATTATAAATAGCCTTCTAATTGTATCATAATTGATAATTTAATTTTATTTATACATATATATGCAAATGGGCAAGTGGACACAGATTCCTGTGATATCCGTTACTACAGTGTGGCTAAGCAAATTTTCTGTTAATGAGAATACTAAGAGATTGGGTGTCTTTGCTTTGACAGTGGTTGAGGTTACTTAGGGCACTGCCTTTTTTTTTTAACGTTAGCACTTATTTTTTTTTATTTTAGTCTATTAGCACATGTTTTCAGTACATAGTCTGAACATTCCTTGTGGGAATTTAGTACAAGTTCACAACACATCGTTTGTTTTGTTTTTTGTTTTTTGTTTTTTGGTACCGGGGATTGAACTCCAGTCCCTGCCCTTGCAAAGAAGCTACCAGAACCACTGAGCTAAATCCCGGCCCAACAACGCATTTTAATTCCTTTTTTATCCCCTTTCCCTTAGCTCCCTGCCCCTTCTACTCATGCCTTGAGCCCCTTCTGTTTTTGGGTACATGTTTTAGTACATAATGTTGACATTTCTTGTGTGGAGTTGGTTCATGTACAGAACACACCTTGATTTTCTTTGTCTTTCCTTATACTTTCTTTCTGTCCCCATTCCCTCTGTTTCCTGATCTTTCCACTCCAAGAATAATATATCTTGGGCCGGGGATTGAGCTCAGCGGTTCTGGCTCCTGCTTCGCAGGGGCAAGGACCTGAGTTCAATCCCCAGTACCAGACCAAAAAAACAAACAAAAACAAAAATGAAAATAAAAATTAAATATATATATCCCCCACTTCTATTATCTATCTTTTAGTTTGTTCTTTACTTTTACTCTGTTTTTCATATAAGAGAAATAATGAGATATTTAAGCTCTTGTGTCTGATTCATTTCACTTACGTTGCTTCTGTGGAAAACATGGGACAATGGCAATTCCAAGAGGAGGGAACAAGGCAATTATTCCAAAGTCATTTAATTAATTAGCCAGGTAATTTTACTATTATCCCAATGTGCACTTCCTGTATTTCATTCCTGAGTTAATCTGGCCATTACTGTGGATAAAAGTCTAACTTTACTTTGAGGTCTTTGGTCATCACAGAGTTGTTCATTAATAAGATCCAGTGGGTTTTCCATTCTATTTGAGACTATGAGGTTTATGTATGGAGATATTCCCGTGTCGATGATTTGCTAATTATAAATATATTCACAGTTTTGAATTCTGCAATTCATACTTAAATTTCTTTTATACTTTAAGTTTGAGGAGATAGAGAGCTCTTTCTATGTACTTAGTTAGATACCTTGAGTAAAAAATATTTGCAAAGCTAGAAATTTGTGGCAATTGTGTTCATAAATAGAAAGGAATACCATTGTGTAACATTTTTTATGGAAATCACTAATATAATAGCACTAAGGTATAGTCAGTTTAATCCAATACATAATGAGGAGAATAAATATAAATGGATACTCACCACTAGAGGTAGGATAAAGGCTTTAAAAGGTAGTATTAATGGTGACCAATTTCCTTCAAAATTGTTTTTATAAGGTTTCATTTTAAGATGACATATTTATAGGTTCTGTACTTTGCAAACTCAATAAACATCTCCCTAGATTATGATTTGATGCAACAATTGACTGAATAAATGTACTGCACATTCAATTTTTCTCATGCTTTCTCCCTAAGGAGCCTAAATCATATTTACAGAAGAACAACTAATTTTTAAAGTGCTCCTTTGAGAAAAAGTGGGTAGAAAGAGAAAATTTGAGAAGCAAAGTTTATAGCAATGGGCTAAAAGAAAACAGTATTTAGGGACAAAGTGCTGTGCAACAAAGGATAAGGGACTTACTTTTATTTTTATTGAAAATTAATATTATTTATTACTTTTATTTTTATTTAAAATTAATATTATTTATTAATAAGTGTTCATAATTATTGATGTGCTCTTTCATATAAGGATGAAGAAAAGTACTTACACTTCCAGGGATCACTCGGGTTTAATTTAATGAAACTCCATTCAAAGTGATTCGTGCCCTGTGTGAAAGAATTTGTAGGTGCTTGGAACAGAATAAATGCTTAGGTGTCAGTAATACAGTTGCAAAAATGATTTCTGTAGTTCAAAACTTATCCATTCAAGCTATATTTGTGTTCTGTCTTGTGATGTGGTCATTAGCAGCGGATCTAAAATCCTTGAAACTCTCTGTAAAGGGAGATTACTTTAGATAAGACCTGACCATAACAGAACTGCTACAATTAGCCTACTTTTGAGCACTTAGAGGGCATTTCTCTGTAAATAACAAACTATCCACAAAGGTCAGGAGGCTAGAATTGAGACGGTAATGCAAGGAATTGTTTGTGTAAAAGAAAGGCTTTGATACTTGGTGATAAAAACAAATCTCAGGTGACTCTTTTGCATTTAGTTTGATAATAGCAAAATTAAAACATAAGTGCCTAAGTGGATTTTTAATATCTAATGAAAGGTTAAGGAAAATTCACAGTCTAAAAGATATATTTCTTATCTGGTAGTTCATACAAAAATGCAATCAAGGTAGCGTTTCCCTTGTGTAGATATTTTTCAATAAAACTTTTTCTCAGGACTTTGTGAAATCAATGCAAAGATGTCAATAACAACAACAGCAAACCCTGAGATACATTGAATGCCAATGAATCAGCAGTCAGATATAAAGTTGAGAAGATAATGGATTATGATATCAAGGCAACCCAGCTAGTCTAGCACATTTTAAAATGCGGTAGAACTATCAGAAAAAGATATAAACATTCTGAAAAATGCTAACTCTTGGATTCAGAGTTTGCTTAACAGAGAAGATGGAAATATGTGAAGACGATTGCATTTCAAATGACAAGTTTCATAAGTCTAAGATGTGAGGGTGGACATAATACGCAAACTGACAGTTATTTTTCAGATTACTTCTTAGATTCCTATTATTCTTGGTTCTCATTCCCCTCCCCTTGTCTTACCCTTTGTTGACGTAATCGTCATGCATGAGTGATGAAACCACTTTTCCTCCTTTCCCTCAGCTTCCTTTTTTCCTCTTTCTTTTTCTGGAATTTGAAGGAATTCGCGCCTTTCAAATCCCAGCTAACCCTTTCTTCTCCATTACCTTGTTTTGATTAAATTTTCACCCCCTTCTCTTCTCCTCACAGATTCCCTAAATGTGCTCTGTTCCCAGTCCTCTGGGAGCACTAAAATGTGCCCCACTGCCAGCTGGAGATTGGGGCTCCTGTTCTCTGCCATCCCGTCCCTCGCTCTCCTGTGCGGCCCTCTTCTGTATCCTCTAGCCTTGCTTGTCATTTCCTACTACTGAAAAGCCCTTTTTAGTTTGATCTTCAGATGCTGGCAGATGTCTGAGATTCAGAGCATTCTCCATATTACAAATGTCTTTTAAAATAACGTCTGTCCTCGTCTAAATCTAAAAACAAATTTGACAGGTTCTGGTGCTGTAACTCGGGTTAAATGGTGACTGGTCCTCAGTCCTTACCATTTGCACATAGGTTTCCATGCAGGTTTCCCTGTGCTTTGTGTCTAATTCCTGGGCGAGTTAGAATCCATGGTTGGCGAGGTGCATTCCCTGAAAGAGGGACCCAGGCATTTCTTTTTCTTTTTTTAATTTTTTTTTTTTTTTGGTTGCTGGTGCAGGATAAGGAGTTATTTTGATTTCATTTAATAAATCTCTTCTCATTTCTTGTCTGTTTAAGGAAGACCCTTGCAAGATGGAAGCCTTCCCAGTCCTCTGCGAGTGGAGTGGGGATTTAATTTCCGAAGCTTATCGAGCAGTTTTCCTCGCATGTTCCTGGTAATAGATGTACTTACTGGGCATCGTGATGCACGCTTTTGATCCCAGCACTCCGGAGGCTGCAGCAGGAGAACCTCTGTAAATTTGAGGCCAGCCTGGGGTACACAGTAAGGACTTTTTTTAAAGAAGGACATTCTTGACTTTTGGAGGGAAGTTTTTGTAGTGATCTGAACACTAGCTTAGGACCCCATGGGTAAATTCCACCTCATTGTCATTCATCTCGTCTTTCCTCACTGAGGCTCTGTTCTGCCACTGCGAGAATCATGGAGTCTAGGATTTCTCTAAATGGTAGAACTTGCAAGTCATATTTTAAAACTACAAATAACTCCCTGGTGTTCTTGAGATCTCTCCAAATTTGTTCGTCTCTGAGGAGTTAATGAATCCAGGGTTACAAAATCCCTCTAAAGCGTGGAGAAATCTTTAATATGGTGGATTTTTAAACTTACGATGTGATTCCCCTTTCCACATTCCTTTGTTTCTTTCAGACCCATGTTGCCCAATGTAGCACTTGATTAAATTCTCCAGTCTCTGATAGTGTAGTGATAGAGATCAGCTTTTTAATTGGAATGTTAATTTTTCATGTTCACTGCAAACACTAATCCCCAAATCCAAAATTCTTCCTCAGCTTGTCTTTGCTCCATTATAACTTTTGTAAGTTGCTTTCATCTTCTTGCCTTTATCACAGCTCTTGCCTCCCCTCTCAGGCCTTCTTTTGACATTGCAGGTGGAAGCTTCCATGAAACCACAAATCGAGTGTTTGAATTTCCCCCAAAAATCTATGATGCCAAGATCTGCCTCCAATTCAGGAAGGCTCGCGGCCACTGCATCGTGAATACTGAGGCCTCTGAGTGTCTGGATGGCAGAAATCTGGGACACTTCCCTAGTTCACTGGAATGAGCTGGACTCCCTGGGGTTCTCCTCTCAAAGCAAAGTCTTTCACTTTTGCAACTACTAAAAAGTGGGGTCCTGCTAATTATTGAGATGCGTTAAAGCCATCTTTTCTATTGTCCCCCGTCAAAGTGTTTGGCTTCTTTTTAATGTTAATATTTGTAGCAGGAAAGCTCTCTTTAGTCCCAACTTTATAGTTGCTACCTTTCTGTCCACTAGCAAATTTTTAAAAAAAATTATTCAGCTCTACTTTTTGGTAACGATTCTCACTGTAAATCTATCTGCAAGCAGCCAGCAATACCCATGCTATGGCCTAAACGCTGAGGTTCCCTGAGATTTCCTCTGTTAGATGAGTCTATCACTCTTGTTCTCGATGTCCCGCAGAATCTCAGGTCATGGAGAAAATGTAGACATTTTTTCTGACAGTGCGCAATTCAAATGGGACAAAATTCCCAACACCCAGAACCTAAAGGAGGAATTATTTTGCTTCATGGTTTCAGCTCATGGTCAACTGGCTCCATTCAGAAAAAGGACACAGAGGTCATGGTTGAAGAAAAGGTGCTCAAGTCGTGGCAGCCAGGAATCAGAAAGAAAAGGAGGAACCAGGGACAAGAGTACACTCTTCCCCAGGTCACACCTCCAGTGACTGTCCTCTAACCGGAGCCTGCCTCTAACAGCACATTCAGGTACTGACTGAACTCACCATTGGACGAAAACACTGATGATTGCAGAGAGTCCATGACCCGCCCACCTTCCACACTCATAAGAATTTTGGGAGCCATATTAGATCTAAACCACAGTGGCACTCAATCTTATTACTGTTCTTTCCTTCAGTCTTTCTAATATCATCTCAGGTTATTGAGCTCAGTCAAGGTCTGCTTATTCAGTTTGCCTGTTCTCCTTGACTCAAGGAAATAAAGCGTATATTTGGATCCGTACACTCCATAGAAGCCCTCTGCTGTGTTTTTCCAGACATTCATGGCAAGTCTAAAAAAGTCATTTCCTCTGGCAATTCGATCTTCAATATAATATATAGAATATCTTTCTTTGTTCTATGATATTAAACATTCCTTTAAAAGATATCTGTACATTTTTGAGGTGTTGGCTGAAAAGAGACATGCATTCTTAAGAAAAAAAGTTCTCTTCTTTTGCCTTTAAATGCATTACTAAACCTCAAAATTATTTCTCAATGAAAAATCATTTTCCTATTAAGACCATTCTTAAGTACAACCCATTATGAAGCCAAGAGACAGCTTAGGGGCTTTGGGGACAGATGAGCTGCTGTAGAATTTGAATTTTAACGCCACTGTCACAGCAATCCCTGACCTGATGAGAACTGTGACTGAGCATTTCCACCTGGACGTGCTACGTACAGCATTTCCAACCAGAAAGACTTTTCTGTCCTCCTGGCCCACCTGAGAGCTTCTCAACTCTCCTTCACCCCTCCCGCCTTATTCCTTATTTGCTCATGAGAGAGAAGGATGTGCTATAGCCATCGTATCTCAAAAAGTAATGAAAATTTGAGGAACACTTTGACATCACCCTAGATGCAACACCTCAAGTTTTCCCTTCTCGCTTACAAAGCAATAGCAGCAATTGCAAAAATTGGTTTCATCCAGGGCCCATCTTGTGTTATTTCACACCATTGACATCTCTTTATGCCATGCAGCCCAGACCCTTCCTGTAATGAAAAACACCCATCATGTTCTATTCTCAAGTTTTGTGAAATTCTTTTGCTTTCTCCTCCTCATACCACTGTCCACTGCTCTCAATAACCTCTCTCGCCCAGCTGAAGTAAAACCATGTCATTTCCCCATGATATTGAAGCTTCAATCTTCTCAGATGTCAAATACTCAGACATCCCTCTTGTAAATACAGACTCTGAGCTCTCTGTTGGTGGCTCATATGCCTGTACCTCAGGAGAATTTTCCAGGCAGGACATGCCTTTATAATTTTCAATAGTACATCAAAATAAATTTTGCACTTCACAGAGCCCAGGGCACTGAACTTTTAGCTCATGTAACTAACACACTGCTCTCGGTCTAATATGAGAGAGTTAACATCTATGTTTTCACAATAGTTCACGTGTCTTAGTAACTTTCTGCTTTCAGGAACACAACACCTAACACTTAACAATTTAAGGGAGGAGAGGTTTATTTTGATGCATGACTTTCTGTTGTCTACTAACTCTGAGGCCAAAAAGGCTCTGTGGAAAAGAAGGGTGGATATAACCTTTTCACTGTAGAGCAGCCAGGAAGCACAAAGAGATGGGAAGAGCCGGGGATAAAAGTAGAGCCTTACACATCATCCTGTCAGTGACCCACCCTCAACAAGCCCCGTATTATAATGACACCATCAGTTCAACTCATCGGTAGAAGTGCTGAATAGCACAGCACTCCTGTGATCCAGACACCTTCCACACACATGGAAATCTGGGGAGAAATTTTGGACTTAAACCATAACATTATAGTTTTAGTATTTAAACATTATTATTTAGTATAGCTTAGCATTTTAACATTATAGTTTTATTATTTAGTATTCATAGTTTAGTGCTTAAGTAAGAGCCAACAAATAAAAATGTGAAACTGGTGCCTCTCATAGTCTACATCACCATCAAGGGAGAGGGTGTAATGTGCAAGCTCATATAGATCACTAAACCTCCAAAACAAAGTGAGTTGCATGGAAAATATGCTAACCAGGGAGCTCATAAATCTGTTCTTTATTACTGTAACTGTAAAAGATCTCAAAACTCCACTTACCAACTACCCTATCAGTTAAAGAAATTAAAATCTGCCAGATTAAAGCCATGGATTATGAAAGGCCAAGTAAAAATAAGTTGGATATTTTATCTTCCCAGATGTACTTCAGAGATGCTCAGATGATCACTTGGCTTCCTCAACCAAATTTAGATTTGGCTCTGGACCTTTACAAGGTTACTCAGCATGAGAAGTAAACTCTAAATCCACGCCTGTGGCAATTTTGGTAGGATATTGTTTTATTTCCATCTGAAAAGAAATTAAACTTTTGCACCACCATCAAAATCATAATCATGGTAAAGGTATAACTGAGACAAATAAAGGAAATATATCTATCTGGACCTTTACTTCATTGGTAATTAGATTTTATTCAGCTCACCAAATTTCATGGATATTAATATTTGTATTTTACCATAATACATGCATGAATTTCTCAAAATGGGGTGAGTGGCTATCCATAATTATCTGGCTTTGGACATGACTTTAGCGTCTCGTGAATGCACTTATGTAATGTTCAGAAGTGATTATTATAAACATCCCTCCACACCTCTGATATTTTTAGTTTCACCTACATATTCCATCTACAAAATTGGAAATTTATTATATTCCTGCTATGGTATTCACTAACATTTAAGGACATTTTCAATATCCTACAATCTTCTTAACTAGCTCCAATTAAACCTCAAATCTTGTCCCTGAATTGTTACTCTAATGATACTAGAATGAAATAACCACCACCTACAAATTAAAGGAGGAAATATTTACTTGACTCACAGTATACAGAAGTATCAGTCCCTAGTTAGAGGCTCCAAGGCAGGTTGGCACAGAAGAGAGGCCATGCAGAGAAAAAACAGTTCATGGTAGAGTAGCCAATAGCAACAGCAAGCAAACAACAGCCAGCTACTCAATCCTTTTTATCCCATCCAGTCTATAAACCTTTGGGGTGGTTCCCTTCTCACCTAGGGTGGGGCTTCTGTCCTCAGTCAATCCATTCAAACACATCCAGAGCCTTGCTAATTCTAATCAGTGGACTACTTCAGTACCACACACCCTTAATCCCATTCACACAGCCTAGATTCAGCCGTATTTTAAAACTTCATTTATGACCACACAAGTCTTTGGGGAGGGATATATAAATGCAGGGCATATTACAAGGGAACAAGAAGCCAAGGGAAGGGAGGAATCAGATTCAAGAATACATGCTTCCAGGTTCCTATCTCAGGGACTTTCACGCTCTGACCAGGTCCACCTCATGGCACATTCAACTATGAGAATATTTACGCATTAAAGCAAGGATGAATATAGCAAACCTATAAACCAATCACCTTCAAAGAGCCCCACCTCCAAACACATGAGACTTTTGAGGGCCATTTTAGATTCAAGCCATAATATTCTGTCCCGGACCCTTAAAAGAAATGGAAATTGCATTTAGTCCATCTCTAAAAGTCCTCAAAAGCTTAATAGTTTTAGCATTGCTGAAAAGTGCAAGTCCAGAATCTCCTTGGAAACACAAAGAAAGCTCTTAGTTTTGAGCTCTGATATAAATAAAAGAGTTAAGTATTTACGACATACAATGGCACTACAATTCACAATGAAAGAGGGAAGGATGGAAGGATAGAAGAATAGAAGGACTTTGGGCCAAAGCATGATCAAAACCCAGCAGAAAAAAAGCATGAAATGCAGTATCTCCATGTCTATCATGTATTTTTGAAATGTGAATTCCAAAGTCCTTGTACAGCCCACCAGTGTCTTTTCTGGTTTCAAGTTCCAGGACCTCTCCCTTGGGTTGGTTCTGCTCGTTGCCCATCACAGCCTTGTTAAGGCTGACCTGCGCGTAGCCACTGCCGAGGGTACAGTCAACCCAACACCAAGTCCCTGACACAGCAACATCCCCCATGATGATCAGCCTGAAAACTGGCAGCAAATGGACTATATTGGACCACTTTCCTCATGGAAAAGATAGCACTTTGTACTTAATGAAATAGAAAAATCATCTGGATATTTGTCTTCCCTGAATGTAATGGTTTTGACAAACAATATTTGTGTACTTACAGACTGCCTCATCCACCACCATGGAACTCCACCCAGCACTGCTTCTGACCAAGAAAAACACTTTGTGACCAATGCAGTGCAGCCATGGAAATAAACATGGCGTGTTCACGAAATTCCCTGGTCTTATCATGTTCCCTATTATTTGGAAGCAGCTGGGTTGACAGAAAGGTGAAATCATCTTTTGAGCATGCAATTGCAGAACCATCTAACTATTAACATTTTCTGTGCCTAGGGAAATGTTCTCCAGAAGTCTGCACACGTTCTGCACCAGCCTCTAATATGTGGGACTGTATCTTCCATAGCTAGGAGAATCAAGGTCCACAGGTCCTGGAATCAAGCGGTGGAAATGGGAATGTTACCACTCAACATTGTTCTCAGTGACACACTGGCAAGATCTGTGTTCCTTCTTTTAACCATGTCTTCTGCTAACCTTAAAATCTTAGTTCCAAAGGGAAACGCAGCAATGATTCTATTGAATTAGAACTCAAAACTTCCCAGAGCCATTTTGGGCTCCTTATGCCCATGAGTCAACAAGAGGAGTTGTGATGTTGGCAGGGGTGATTAATGTGTACAACCAATGGAGAATTGGACTGCAACTGTACAATGAGGCAAGGAAGAACCCAATCTGGGAAGAGTGAAAATTTCCCAGACTCTTTAGGAATGCTCACATGGGTTCCTCTGCCAGGTAGAGAAGCAAGGTATGCCAAGGTGTATGCTGAAGGTCACAGGAATACAGAATGGTAGAACATTGTAGTTATAAATACCAGCTACAGCCATGTGATCACTTACAGACATGAAGAATTAGTTGTCTTTGCCTTCATGTTGTGCTACTATGCCTGTGCCCATGTTCTTAGGTATCAGACTACTGATCTCCAGGGACTGGCACTGCATCCTTGTTCTGAGGCTTCTCACTCTCTTGATTAAGCATCTACTGGCTCCTCTGGCTTTCAGCCATCAGAGGGCCATTAGGAACCATCCTGAAGCTGATCCCAAGAGCCTCAGTGATGAATACACTTGTGTAATTACAGATCTTCCATTCAGTCTGGTCCTCCAGAGAACCCTAAACAAACATAGTTTCTTTCTCTCTATTAGACCAGCTCAGTAGGCTTATCCTCAGTTTGTGCATGTTGTACTCCAAAGGTCAAAACTGTCCTTGTTTTCTACGTATTTGCCGATCCAACTCGCTATGCACAGATGTTTTCTTACCCTTTGGCAGGATATACAGCACCATTATAAGCTTTGTACTTGAGAACAGACTCCTCATCCATCCTGCACTCATCTACTTTGGTATATTTATATTATATTTTAGGTATTATAAAAGACCTTGGATTTTGTACATTTGTTTTCCTTCATTCTCTTTTAATTAAAATGACACTGTTCTCCAAATTTTTGGTAATGCTTAATAATATATATTTAGAAGAAGCTTTATTTCACTTTTTTCATGCATTGTTAGGAAAAATATCACCAGAAAAATAACGTTATTTTAATTTTGCTCATAATCTGATTGAATAAACGTAATATGAAAAGTGTAATTCAGTCTTCAATTTTTGGAAAACGTGATAATAGGCTGTGTAATATATTTAAAGTACCATTGTACATTCTTCTCTCTTTTTATCTGTTATTATTTCTTTCTCTTTCTTGTTCTTATCTCTGTTTTTCTCCCTCTCTTGCCTAAGTACTGTGAAGAAAGAACTTTCAGTAAGCTGTTACTATGCTGATGAAGCCTCTCTTGAGGTCTCTCTCTGTCTGAAGTTTTCTCTCTATTATCCAATATTCTCCATTTCATAACTTTCAATAAGAAAAGTCATATAAATGGCAAACATACAGATTCAATGTGTGTGTGGGCATGTCTAGAAGAATGAAAAACCTAAAAACCAGATTATATTTTAGTCCAACTGTTGATGGGCAAAGAAAAGGGAAAAAAAACAAAAAACTTTAAATCACCACAAGAGACAAAAGCTTTATCCACACCAATAGTTTTAGAAAGTTTATGAGCTGAAAATAATTTTGTAGAGAAATTGCATCTTCTTTTTTTCTGTTGCCAATTACTACTTTTCTAAAGAATTATTACTTTATCAGTTTACATGACCTAGTTTCCTCTCTTCTCAAACAGATGACTCATTTTTACTTTTTGTGGTTGACATCACTTCTGCTAGTGCTGTTTATTTTGTCACATCAAGTGACCCCTATCTAACTCACAGAAAACTGTTTCTTACACTGAGTTTATTTGGAAGAGAAGAGACGAAGAAGTGAGAAGTCTCAATTTATGCTGAATTTATACAACAGATTCTTTAAGCTTTATTTTTAAAATGTCTCACAAAGTAATAATTTTCATGCTGAAGAGTAATTATAATGGTCACTCCATCTCGTGCAGCACTCTCAGTGTATTAACACAAAATACAAATTTTCTTTTCTTTATTCCTAAAAAGAGGCTCCTGAGATAAATACTACCAAAATTACTTCCTTCACAAATGAAGAAGCTAAGGTTCAGGAGGGGGTAATAATTTGGTCAAGGTGACACATTCCCAAAATAGAGTAAATCCAGATTTGAATTCAGATAGTCTAGAGCCTGAATATAATTTCTAAATGTCTCCAACTTAGACCAGGATGGAACCCTTTAGCAGAAGCATTGTCAGAGGTATCAAGTAAAGCCACATTTCAGAATAAATAATAAATTTAAATATACTAGGATATTTTAGTCCAGAGCATTTTTTTTCTAATAAAACTTTGAAGTAAAATACATTTATTGATGTCACAAAAACTAGAGTTTGGGTATAATACAGTTACTGGAGATAAACTAATGAAACAAGTCTCTACCCAACATTCAGATTCTGGGGAGATGAGACAAAAATAAGATAATTTCTTACCATCGAATGCTAAATGTTTCTTCTACCAAAGGAAAACAATGAAATGGGAATAGAATGGCGCGGTGAATATTGAGTACACCGATGTGAAAGACTCAGGCTTGCTTTTGCAGCGCAGCCTGCCGATGAGAAAGACCCAGGAAGAGTGTAGGGGCGCGGCAGGTGCAGGGTGACCGAGGAGAGGAAGCAGCGCCTCGATGCCTGCGGGAGAGCGCTGGGGGACGGGGTGCAGGCCCAGCTCGCAGGCAAGCAAAGGTGCGCGGGTCTGCTCAGGTAGACTCAGGGGGCAGAAAGCTGCTGACACCAAGGAGCGGATGTCTGGAAGTCAGGATGCTCTGCCAGCTCCGGCAGTGACCTTCCCCGGAGAACCAGGGCTCTCCTGAGGGGACAAGCAGATGGAACTGAATTATTCAGCCCAATTCTCGCCCTGCCTTGCTCCTCCTCCTGAGCTCAGCAGAACTTGATACTTTTTGGTCTTCAATAAACCCGGGGGTCTGACTCAGTGTGGGGCTTCATTTCATCCTGGAGGAGTCCCCGGCCCAACGCAAAGATCGGTCCTGGTTCGCACGTCGTTGTTCCTCTCTCTGACGGCGTTTCCGGGCTCGAACCTGGCACTTGGGTCCATCCGAATCGGAGTGGGAAGCCGCAGAAGGGTAACAAACAGGACAGAGCTGTTGCTTGATTCAGGACTTAAAACATCTCTTCCGCTACGCGTTGAGACATTCTGTTGCAGGCAAGGGTAGAAACAGGAAGCAAAATCTGAAATCTATGGAGATGATCCAATAGGCCTGTCTTATGGAAATCGTGATAACTGAGATAATCAGCTCCCGCCCCACTTCATGTTGTCGAGTCTCTCCCAGGGATGCAATACCAGAAGGAAAAAGGAAGGTAGAAAAACTGCCACGACTCAAATTGGTGGCTTGACAGAAGCGCGGAATGAAGGGTTTATTAAAGTAACTGAAATATAGAAAAAAAAATAGGTGGGGTAAATGTAGTTGGTTGTTGCGTTATTTTTTTAATTGATGGTATGAAAATGACATTTTCCTTGTAGGCGCCTCCAGTGTAAGATCCGTATAGACATAAGACAGAATAGAAGCTCCGCTGGCCGTCACGCTCAGGTGAGAATCCCGTGAAGCCAAGGTCGTGACTAAGACAGACAGGTAGAGAGGTAACAAGGAAGTGAAAGGAAGGCTGTAGACGCTCCCGAGTCATCCCTGCCTTTCCAGCTCTGCAGTGAGAAGAATCCTGCATAGAGAAGTCTCAATCTCGGGTAGAAATATACATCGACTTTGACGACTGAGCACTTAGGTTCTCTTTCTAAGATATCCTATGCTGTTGTTATGTGTTGAATTGCGAACCTTTCTCCTGTAAGTAATATGTGAAAGCCCAAGTATCTCAATATAAATTTATCTGGAATAACACAGATATAATTAAAGCTAAAATGAGTTCTGCTGGTGTGTGATGGGCTGCCAGTCCTATGTGGCTCAGGTCCTTAGTAGAAGACCGCCACTTGGAGACAGAGCTATAGCAAGAACAGCAAGATGGGTCAGACTGGAGTTAGGATAGCACAGCTGAGGGAGAGCAAGGGTCCGTGGTGACACCTAGGAACTAGGTACAGGCCAGTAAGTACTTACTCATGCCTACAGATGTCCAGGGGAGGATGGCCCTGCCAGCACATTGAGTTTGGATTCCAACCATCCAGAGCTGTGAAAGAATACGCTTAGATGTTCAAACCCATGGTGTTTGTAGAAGGTTGTTGTGGCTGACCTGGGACACACACACACACACACACACACACACACATATATATTCTACAGGAGAGAATGAGAGAGAGAGAGAGAGAGAGAGAGTTGTTTTGGTGGTTATAACTTTAAACAGGGATATTAAAAGGTATTTACTGATTAATAATGTCAACTTATACTTTTCATCACAATTTTGTGAAAAAGTATCATTGAGAGATGTATGTGCTATAACTTTGAAATGCTTTTATAACTCCCATTGGGATATTAGGATGATAGATGTTATAGAATTCATTAGTAAGTTGCAGCTGGCAAACTTTTATCCAGGACTAATGAAGCAACACCTCTACCCTCTCTCTCACTTTTCTCACAGACACAGGAACTCCCCTCTCACACACCCACACACACATGCACACACACACATGCAAAATGGTCTTAAAATTATGAAACAAGGTGGAGATGCCAGTAATAAAAAACAAGGATCATATATTTATTTAATTTAATTTCTCTTTACAATAAGTCTGTGGTATAATTTTATTCAACACAGAGTTTCATATAGACATCTACATTTTTACATTACACAAATAATGTAAATGAAATAAAATATAGATAAAATATATGGCTGATCAATAACTACTAGCAAGGAGAGTGTGTGTGTGTGTGTGTGTGTGTGTGTGTGTGTGTGAACATATAGTATAATGTCATTCAACTCTAGTTTTTGAAAACTTGTAGTTGGAAGTAGTCTTTGATATGTTAAAATGAGAAACATTTACAACTGACTGAATATAAGTGTTCAATTTTTGTTTTAAATGTACTTTTATTATCCTTAGAATCATAACAAGTGCATACCATATAATTTTGTTTTGGTTTCTGAACAATGATTCGGTAATTCTACTCTGTTTATACAGGATAATTCCATGAATGGTTTAGGGAAAATTTTTTGTTTGTTTGTTTTTTGTTTTTTGAGAAAGGGTCTCACTATGTAGTTGAGACTGACTTGGAACTCACTGTGTAGCTCAGGCTGGTCTCAAACTCACAGTGATCCTCCTGCCTCAGCCTCCTGAGTGCTGGGATTACAGGTGTGCACCATCACGTCAGCTAATAGGGAAAAACTTTTAAT